AAGTGCCAGCAATGTATAATCTTCCACTGCCATTCATGTGTTGAAGCTGAAGTGAATCCATCTGATTTCCTTAAATCCTGTCCATTTGCCTCCTATCCGGATTTACCCAGATTAGTATCCCAAGCTTCCTTTCAGCCATGGGGTGGATCAATAATAACCTATATTTTTTTGAGACTGTTTCATTTGGTTCTTCTAGGTAGTAAAATATTACATTCTTAATGGTGGTACAAGTCCAAATTGCTGAAGATCTACCATTCCTATTGCCCAAAAGAGATTTGAGCTGATACCAGAAGAACCACGGTAACTTACTACCTATTTGCTGTTCTATTTGTTCTTTATTGAGAGGTTTGTTATTGCTACACAAATCTATATTTGGGTCTAATATAGTTTCAGTTTAGATCCATTGTTAAGGAGTCGTCCATAATGAATGGAAGCATACGCCCTAACTATGATGCGTGATAATCTATTATCAAATTGGGCATTTATTTATTTGTCACATTTATATAGCCGCCCATCTCACACAAAGTTACTCTGGGCGGCTTATGCCCCACCCTCCCTGTTTTTGAGGTCTACATAGAGAAGAACAGGAACAGGGAGATGGGCAAGAGATGGAAAGTGAAATTCTGGTTTTGCAAAAACTTCAACCATATTCTTAAAATATAAATGAAACAATAATGGCAGTAGAGTGCTACCCTGTTTTATACATTTTTTCTTGGTCATCTCAATTTTTTACCAGCTGGTCATCTTATTATTTTTTTTCTTTTTTCTTTTATATGTATCTTGTTAACATTTCATTTATTTTGTCATTTTCTCTTTCTTTTTTAGTAATGGAGAACCAAACAGTGGTGAGTGAATTCATATTGATGGGATTGACCAACTTCTTCAAGCTTCAAAATCTTCTATTTACAATCTTCCTGCTGTTGTATCTGGCCATATTAGTGGGGAATAGTACGATTATTATTTTAATCATAACAGAACCACACCTTCACACTCCCATGTATTTTTTCCTTGGAAATCTTTCCTGTCTTGACATCTTCTTCTCCACAGTTATTGTACCAAAGATGCTAGCTGGATTTCTAACACAGCTGTACACAATTTCCTTCAAGGGCTGCTTGGTCCAGCTGCACTTTTTGCACTTCTTAGGCAGTAGTGAAGGCATTCTCCTTGGAGTCATGGCTTATGACCGCTGTGTTGCAATGTGTAAACCTTTGCATTACACTGTCATCATGAGAAGAGAGGTTTATCTCCTGATGGCAGCAGCTGCCTGGTCCACTGGGTTTCTCCATGCCTTGATGCATGCAGTGGTGACTGCTCGTCTTCCCTTCTGCGGACCAAATCACATCGAATACTTTTTCTGTGATGTCAAGCCTTTGTTGAAACTGGCCTGTGGCAGCACATACCTCAACCTCATGCTCCTCAACACTGTGACCAGTTGTATTATTATGGGCCCTTTTATCTTCATACTCCTCTCCTACCTCTACATTATTAGTTTCCTTCTTTTAAAGGTTAACTCCTGGAGTGTTTGGCAAAAAGCCTTCTCCACTTGTGGGTCCCACCTAATTGTGGTGGCTTTACTTTATGTTCCTGCATTTTTTAATTATGTGCTTCCCACTGTGAGTACCTCAACACAACAGGACATGATGGTAACTCTCATATACAGTACAATTATCCCAGTTTTAAACCCACTTATTTATACACTGAGAAATC